TGTCATGGCAGGAGTACAGAGCAAAGGCTGCATAGTGGAGTGGAGCTGAGGAGGGTCTGTAAAACAATGAAATAATTTTTTTTTTAAATTTTCCAAGAGAGTGGTGTACTGGGGGGAGGGTTGAGAGGGGAGAAAAGTACAACAATGAATGAATGGAAATCCAAAGTCTCTGTAAATTTTCACTGAAATTAATAATAAATTTTTTAAAAAAGAAAATCATGAGAAAGATAAAAAAATAGATACAAGGTAGACATTCCTAGTATTGACAAATAAAGCTGTTTTTTCAACATCACTAGGTATCTGTCTTAGTTACTATCTAGTGTTGTCAGGTCTGAGTGGATGGCTTTAACAAGCAAACTTACTTACTCTCTTACATGTTAGGAGAAGAAGCCAAATTCAAGGTGCTGTCTCTAGAGATGGCCCTCTAGTGGAAAGGCCTTGCTTTCTTCAGCATCTGTAGACCTGGTGTTCCTTGGATAATCTCCTTGTCCTTTGCCAAGGAGCTTTCCTGTGCAGGGACCTGGGTCTAAACAGATGTGTTCCACTCCTGGCAATTTTTTCTTGGTGGTACTGAGATCCTCCATCTCTGCTTGCCTCTCTCTCTTATGTCTCATAAGACAAAAGGTAATGCAAGTGACACTTCAGAGAGAAACTTCCCTTACATTGCGTCAGGGCTGTTATGGAACTAAGTGTGTTCCATCCCACCCTTAATCCTCTTACAGCTACTTGACTTATCAGATCATAAGGGAGCATTACATAATTTCACATTTCATAAGTCCCTCTCATTGCTATTGAGTAGGAACCAACTCATAGCTGACCTTCAAGCAACTTCCCAGAAGCCATAAATCATATAGGAGGAGATTGCCTATCTTTGTAGCACAGAGCAGAACACATTTGAACTGCCAAAAAAGGCACGGTCTTTAGGCTAGAAGTGCATTCCCTATGGAATACACCACCATCTATGTATATTGGGGAAACACAATTCAATTCAAAAAACATGTAAACATGTAAAAACATGTGACTAATTCTATCAAGGTATTGATAATGAGAAGTGGTACTAGAGCCTGCATCCATCTGAATCCCTGGAGACTGTAGAATAGAGTCTGACAGTCTGCATGCAGTGTGCTATGTTTGTACTCTTGAGACCGTGGGGTTGATTTGTTATCACAGCATAACTAATCTATGTGGGGACAACTGGCAGCCCCAGCCAGAGGTCAATGAGTGAAAAAATGATACAGTCGAAACAGCCTTACACCAAAACAGTTTCATAAATACCTTTAGCCACTCTCAACTGCTGTCAGATGCTTATGACCAAAGAGTTGAAATATTAATCCCTGGATAGAAAGTAACTCTCTGTGTAGCCACGTGTTGACCCCCAATGGCTTGAGGGACTTCCTGTATGGTGCAAAAAGAGCTAATGTGCTCATCTGCTAATCAAAAGTTCCACCCAGAAGCACCTCCAATCAAAAGCTTGGAGAGCTATTTATGTATATTAGAGTATAGTTTATGTATATTAGAGTATAGTTCTTCTCTGTCTGTCTCTCTCTCTCTCTCTCTCTCTCACACACACACACACACACACACACACACACACACACACATTTAGTCACCATGGCGTCAACTCAATGGTAAACTGGTCTGGTGTAACAGGAACATAATATAATTTTGTGTAATGATTGCCATCTAGTGGAGAATGAACAGATTTATTTAGTTTATTTATTTATTTTTTTAAACAAAAATTTAACCAAAGATCAGCTTAGCTTGGTGCATTATGCCTGTCATGTCTCAGAAATAAGGAGCCACCGAGTTTCTGTGGAGCACCAGCAGCAGGGACGGAGTGAGGCATGAGCTCGGCTGTCTTACCTGTTTGAGGGTGAGGCTCTTGGCTTTCTCTTTTGAGGTGCCCATCTCCCAGACACATACAACTGTGCTTGTCCCACCTGTGATGACCAGCTTGGGGTTGGGGCAGATTGCACAGAGAATCTGTCCCCACTCAGACAAACATTCATAAACTGTCATTGCCTATAAAACAGAACAGATATTAAGACATCCATGCCATCAAGTAACATAAACTCCTTAAAAACAAGAAGGATGGCAAAAAGAATTACCTCCTTGTAGGCAATGGCTTATTATCTGAGCTAGTTTCATTTAACAGTATTTCCTCAGGAGCTCTACAGGAATTACCATTACAGCTTCCTATTATAATTGCTGCAACAATCCAGGATAAAGAGAATTTTGCTGATATAAGACCTGGCAATCTGCTATAGTAAATATTACAGTCTAGAAAAACTCTTTGAGGCATATCTTGACTCTGTCCTATAGGGTTTCCTATCAATATCATACAGCATCAACTCAAAATATGGGTCTCCAATTAGGAAAAATGTTCAGGTACACGCTATGTACAATATAGGGAATGGCGGTTAACTGAGACTGGCAGTTTCAGTCTTTCAAGCAATGCCTTGGAAAAAAAGGCCTGGCTCTCTACTTCTGAAAAAAAAAAAAACAAAAAACCAGCATGCTGCAGCCTCCATGGAGCAGAGCTGTTCTGTGACACATATGGGGTCAGAATGAATTGAACTGACTCAAAGGTTAATTACTCCCGACCCCCCGTCTTTTAAATGCAGTAATAGGATGAGCTTGCTAGAGTCAATCATAATGTTAAATGAAAACATGAAGGCTACTGTTTTACGGAAACAGTAACTAAATAAGTACATTCTAGATTAGCACAATAGAATGGCACAGACTGTACTCATCTTGCATTCTGGAAGGACAGTCAAAACTCAGGACAGTACAGAGGAACACTACATACTACCTGCCCAAGGCACTTGTATCTATAGATACAAACTACCTGTCTAAGGTATTTGTATCTATAGATAGAGACAGACACAAACTGTGATTTAGAACAGTAGTTGCTGCTTCCTGGGGAAAAAACAATGGGTTTTCTATCAGCCACTCCAAGTACTGAATGATAAGTGAGGTCAAGACACTGATTCACCTAAACGAGGCTCTTCCACTTGGCTGACATGCTGAGCAAGGAGGTGGTTTGACTCTCTGAGCTAGTCCTTAGAACGCAATTTCTCAAAAGATGCTTGTTTGGCAGGTAATGTGACCTGCCTACTGTCTTATTCTGATCTGATGCACTAAACCTCTCCCTTCCTTTGGGCTGAGAGGACTGTCAGCAAGGTCTCAATGGGAATATCCAGGATATCCAGGCTAAGGAAGAGAGAGATTACATGAGTAAAAGCAAAACAATACAGACCTTGTCTGATTCATAGGTTCCCAGCCTGCAACTGAGGTCAGCATAGCCCCAAGCAAAAGTTTTGTTCCAAGTTGGTGGGATCAGGACTTTATTCTGTTCTACTGCAAGAATGCCTTTATCTGTGCACACTATTTGTCCCACGGGCTCTTTGAGCTCTGTAAGAAATGAATTAATTAGAAGAGAAAAAGGAAGATGAACTTCATTAATGCACACAGGACTTTAATCTCAGATATTCAATATAAATTAAGCATCCTGATAAATACATTAAGGCAAAGAGATCTTTTGTGATTTTTTAAACAATATACTTACAGCTTTTTTTATGCTAAAAACATCACACATTTGTCATGATTGAAAATAGTATTAGTATTCAATAATCCAAAGCCAAATATACTACCAACTTCTTGATCTCAGCTTGGAGTGACCCTCCACTGAGTTTTCATCTTCTTTTTTAATATTATACTGATTTATTTATGAAGTTCGGATACACTGTTATTTTCACACAAGATCCTTCCCATTCCCCTCACGCCTCCACCCACTGAAATGTGCAACCCTATGTTTAACACCCCAGCGCCTGCTCAACCTCACCCCTCTGCTTCCATCCTCTCCCCACATGGATCCTCATACTCATTCTATAATGGTTTTATACAGTATTTGTCCTTGTGGAACTGAGTTTGTTCAATCAGCAATGGTCTTCAGTCCCTCCCAAGTTAAGCAGTAATTCACAAAATTATTGCTCCTGCTTGCTGTGTAGTATTCCATTGTATGAATGTACCACAACTTCTCAATCCATTCATGTGTGGTTGAACATCTGGGCTGTTTCCATGTTCTTGAGATGGTAAATAACACTGCAATGAACATTGGTATACAAATCTCCCTTTGAGCCTCAGTTCTCATTTTCTTGGGGTATATTCCAAGCAAAGGACTAGGTGGATCATATAGAATTTTATTCAGCTTTTTGAGGAAATGCCAAACTGCCTTCCAGAGTGGTTATACCATTTTACAATCCCACCAACAATGTCTAAGAGTTCCTATCCTGCCACATCCTCTCCAACATTTATTATTTGCTGTCCTTTTAAACTTTGCCACTGCTGCTAGAGTGAGATGGTATCTCATTGTTTTGGTTTGCATCTCTCTTATTGCCAGTGATTTTGACCATTTCTTAAGGTGTTTGTCGGCCATTTAAATGTCTTTCTCTTTGAAACCACTTTCCATGTCGTTTGCTCATTTTGTGACTGGGTTATTAGACTTCTTCTTGTGGAGGCTGAGTATTCTATAAACTTTCATTATGAGACTCTTCTCTGAGATGGTATTACTAAATGTTTGTTCTCAGTTGGTAGGTTTTCTTTTTACCCTGTTGGAAAAAGTTTTTGATGTGTTTTTGATTTAACTTTATCCTCTTCAGATTGTGCATTTCTGGCTGTATTTGGCAGTCTCTTTATACTGTGGACTAAGGCCTTGATTCCAGCTTGTCTCTGGTGAACTTTATGGTTTTGGGCTTTTCTTCCAGGTCTCTAATTCACCTTGAGGTGATTTTTGTTTATGGCGTGAGATGTGGATCCTGTTTCAGCTTTCTGCAGGTAGCAGTCCAGTTTAAGGTTATATGGTATATACCATATATATTGGTATATATAAGATATGCCAATATGTATATACACCAATAAATTGGTATACATAAGATATATCAATTTTAATTGTCTAATTCAATAGATTTTAGATTTTTACAGATAGATTTGTACAGCCAGAACCACAGCCACCATTACAACATTCTCATCAGAACAAAAAGACTTGGAGCTTTCACCTTCTTCTACCTCCCCAGCCCTAACTAACAAATACTTTGTTTTGTCTCTGTAGATACTCTCAATTCATTGCTGTAGATCCTCCATTGGGTTTCCAAGGCTGTAAGTCTCACAGAAGGAGACTGTCTACTTTTCTCACTTGAAGTCAATGGTGGACCTGAACTTAAAAGAGAAGCTTGGCCCCCGGGTTAGCAACACAACTCCTTATGGACCAGACCACCAGAGCTCCCTCCCTACAGATTGAGAGTCTGACTTTTGAGTTTCCCAGAGACTTGCTGGGTGGGTTTGCAGTCCTGATCCTAGACATTGTTGGAGTTAGCTGATAGCCACTTGGTATTTCTTCCTGATGCTCGAGGCCACAGAGAATAATCTGGGATGCTTCTGAGGCTGTCACTGGTGGCACAGACTATCAATCTGTAGACAGCCCCAATGAAGACCATGGCAGTGCTTGAGGCAGGTCACCTCTGGACCAAACAGCTGTTGGGAAAGGACCATGGCTGGCACAGAATCCTTGTGGTGAGTTAAAAGTGGTCTCCAGAATCCAGTTTATCAGACTTTTGAGATTTTTTAATGTAAGTGAAGGTTTAAGACTTCACAAAACATTTTTGAAATTTTATGTGGAAAAATAATCACTAAAAAGTGCTTTGAGATAATATACAGTATCACAAAAGATAAGAGGCTTTTTATGTTGTTGTTGGGTACCATCGAATTGGAACTGACCCATAGCTGACTCTCCGGCATGTTTTCAGAGGCACTTAATCGCATGGGAGGAGACTGACTGTCCATCCTTCTCCCACAGAATAGCTGGTGGCCCCGAACTGAGTGTCTTTGGGATAGCAATGCAGCTTCTTGCCACTGGGCCACCAGATGAGTATATTAAATACTTATCTTTTCAATGCTATTTCTAATTGGCAGGATAAATGAGGAAAAGAAAAGGCAGAATTTGTTCTGTATCTATTATCAGAATTAGAAACTACAAGATTTTGAGATCCTCAAGCTCTCACTCTCTTAGCAGGGCAGGACTCTCTATTTGGTCCTCTCTGATGGAAGACTCCAACAGGCAAAAAAGAAAAGAATCTAACATGCAATTTGAAGTTTTAACATAAAAAAATATAGCACCATTGGAAATGGTATTATTGTTAAAAAGTAAATATTGCTAAACTAGTATTATGAAAAAATGCTACCAAATCATGAATTAAAAAGGCATTTCCTATCATTTACCTTTCACAGGAGTTAGGGAAGGTCGCAGGTTGTCCAGATGATGGAAAAAGATCTTGTCACTTGTAGATCCTGGTGGGAGAGAGATCCCAGCACTGTCTCCATTTATTCGGCTCCTTACTCGCTTTGGTGGATGAGGTTTTTTAAATAACTGGTATAAGAGAAGACAACATATTTAATAATGAAAACCCACACTGTATCACACAGCTAGCGTTACCATAAAAGCCCTTTCACGTACTAGGCTTTACACTCTGATTTCACTCCCACCGAAACCCTGGTATTGTTGAGTTGAATTCTGACTTGGAGTGACACTACAGAACTGGATAGAACTGTCCTATGCAGGTCTCCAAGACTGTAAATCTTTACAGGAGAAGACTGTCACATTTTCTCCTGCACAACAGCTAGTGGATTCAAACCACTGATCTATGGCAGCACAGAATGCGATCAGAGCTCCTTTTTAGGTTATGCACTGACCTACACTAAGATCTTTTGAAGATACTCTATTCAAACTACAATCAGCTGGTAATTATTTTCCAGCAATGCCTAGAAACCTAATAGTCCTTTACAGCCCACTACTGTTCCCTCTGGCAGGAAAATATATTCTTTATTTGAATTTTATTCCTAGCTTCAGCATGGCCTTTATAGGACGTGGCAACATTTTGGGAGAGTATTTTTTAAATGCTACAGATTTGTTACTTTCAATATTCCTATCCCTCAGGCTAATTCTAAGGAAACAAAGTTTTCCATTTTCCACCTCTCAGTTTGCTTAATTTAAGCCTGGTGGGATGACAAAACTGGCCCATCTCCACATTAGGGTTCTATCTTATTTCCATCTTCAGCATGAAGGAGATTATGAAGATGGTAGAGGACAGGGTCAAGTTCAGATCTGTTGTCCACAGGGTTGCTGAGTCACAGTGGACACAGAAGCACCTAAAAGCCACCACCACTACCCAGAAGGTGCCGACTACCTTATTTATATCAATTCCAAACTATCCAATCCCCTTGGTGGGCCACAGATAGCTAACATTTGCTTAGTCCTACTCAGCTATGTGATGAGAGTCACAGAGTCAGTAACTAGAAATTCAATACTGAATAAGCCACAGTACACAGGGCTTAAAAAATCCATTATTATTTAGATAAAAAGAACAAACGTACCTGCTTGGGTATCTGACCAAAGTTATTAATGAACCCAATGGTAGCTGTCTCCTTTAGTGGATCATTTATGTTGTAGATATCGACTTGACCCTCATAAAAAAGATGATGGAAGACGTTTACAGCTTCTACTGCAGCAGGGCCTTGCTGTTTATAACCGAAGATTAAGTCAATCCACTCGTGCAGATGGGCACTCACGTAGTCACATTCCAAAGCCTGAAATTAAACCAAAAGGCAGTCAGTCCTGGTAGGCTTCAACTATAGGCTTAGAAAGGGTCCCCCTATAAAAAAGGTGGCCAGTATGAAATAACTAAAAATTCTATTAGTAATTTGGACAAATGGGTAATATATTGTTCTCTGTACTGTGAGCAAGGCCAAAAGAAACTTGATTTTAACCACACAGTGTATTCCATTACCTCTCGGTGGACTCTTATAAACTCTCGTGGGTCTCCCTTTGCCCAGGGGGGAAGGATGACATCTCCAAGCTTCGTGCCATTTTGTTTGCAGCCTGTAATTGGATATATTGAAAAACAAAACAAAAAACAAAACAGAACTGGCTGAGTAATAACTTTGAATTAAGCAGCTGGATTGCTTCATAGTGTAATCATCAGAATATACAAGTCCACCACCAGGAAAGGCCCTCATGCTCTGATGTCTCCGCGGAGAAATGGCACTGTGAGGCAAAACTGAGGGCTTCTGTGTCAAATGCTTTTATGAAATACCAAGTTATATAAAGTCAACCAAGTCTCTATCCTGCAGAACTTCTCTGAGGCTTAGCTCTGCTAACATGTACTGCCTTTTTAACTTATTGTGTGACCCTCCAGAGTCAGTTAATAACATGAGAGTAGACTGCTCATCTTTCCGGTGGATTTGAACCATGTGTCTTTGGGTTTGACAGAATAACTCCTTATCACTAAGCCAAAAAGGACATTCTTCATACCACTGCTGAAATTAAACTGATCGAAGAACTCCTTTCTAGTGAAGCAGTTTGTAGGGTTTCCATTCTGAGTTTAGGAAAATGGCTTGTATTTAGCACTCTCAGTACTGCTTATTTGGAAAAGCATTAACAGTTTCTCTAAGATCTTTGTTTCGGCTTTTAGAATTTGGTGAGTAGTTAGCGGCTACTGAATTTCTTCTCCTAGAGTAGTGAGGAACACACACGTCCTCAGTCATTCCCAGTCTGAATGCTCCTCTGCTCCTCTCCTGGGAGTCTCCTGGTGATCTATGTAATTTGTGCACATTATCCTACTTTTGATTTTAAAATTATTAGGAGGGAATTTTCACCTGGCATATATCATGCTATAAGACTTTTTATTAGTATTATAACAATCTGGAACAAGAGGTACACTGTGAGGTGAGCTTGGGGAAGGGAATGTGCAAAAATTAAAAACAATACCTTTTAAAAAAGGAATTTCCATTTAAAAAGTGACATCTGAAAATAATATAAATCTTTACTGCTATTGTATTAATTGAGGGGGAGGGAACCAAACAAAAGAATCCACAACCAACCAACAAATATTTGGAAAGAGATGGATCTTAGCTGAAAGCAGGGAATACCAGAAGAACGTCTGTGTTTTATTGATTATGCAAAGGCGTTTGACTGTGTGGATCATAACAAACTGTGGATGACTGTGAGAAGAATGGGAATCCCAGAACACTTGATTGTTCTAATGTGAAACCAGTACTTGGACCAAGAGGTAGTCATGAAAACAGAGGAGGGAAACACTGCATGGTTCAAGATTGGGAAAGGTGTATGCCAGGGATGTGTCCTATCTCCATACCTTTTTAACCTGTGTGCAGAACAGATTGTCTGAGAGGCTGGGCTCTATGAGGAGAAATATGGCATCAGGATTGGAGGAAGATCTACTAACAATCTGTGTTATGCAGATGACACAAACCCTGCTTGCTGAAACTGAAGAGGACCTGAAATGCTTGCTGCGGAGGGTCAAGGACTGCAGCCTTCAGTATGGACTGAGGCTCAATTTTAAGACAACAAAGATTCTCGCCACTGGACCAACTGACAGCATCAGGGTGGATGGTGAAGAGACTGAGATTGTTAACAACTTTAGTCTGCTTGGCTCAACATTCTCACAGTCAATATTCTTGGCACCAGCAGCCAGGAAATCAAAAGACATATTGCAATGGGAAAGTCTGCTGTTAGGGACCTCTCCAGCATCATGAAGAGCAATGGTGTCACTCTGGAGACTAAGGTGCATCTGATACAGGCTACCATCTTTGCAATCACTTATTATGCATCAGAGAGTTGAACAATGACTAGGGAGGATAGAAGAAGAATTGATGCCTTTGAGCTGTGGTTCTGGAGAAGAGTGTTGAATGTACCATGGACTGCCAAGAAAAGAAACAGATTCATCCTGGAGAGGGTTAAACCAGGCTGCTCCTTAGAGGAAAGGATTCTAGGGCTTCATCTGACATACTCTGGACATGTTGTAAGGAGGGACAGGCCCTGGAGAGGGACATCATGCTTGGGAGTGTGGAGTGACGGCACAAGAAAGGAAGACCCTCTATGAGGTAGATTGATTCAGTGACTGAGGTAATTGGGATGGGTGTGTCAGAGGCAGTGCGATTGGCACAGGATAGATAGAGCAAGGTTTAGGGCTGTTGTACATAGGTCGTTATGAGTCACAAGCGACTTGACGGCACATAACAACAACAACAACAGTGCTTCCCAGCAGGAAAATACCCACTAAGTGGTGATGATAAATTTCAAAAACTATTTATTCCATGTAAACTGTCATTTTAAGACAGGTAATACTTAAAATATTAGAGAAATCTATCCACAACTAAACATATAATGAGTTTGGTATCTGACCTCTTTTTCCTTTTTCTGAAATAACAATCCAAAAAAAAGGTCTGTTTAATATGAAGAGTTTTCCTAGGTACAAACAGATTATCACTGAGAAAAAAACACCACCACAAAAATATCCTTTATGGACAATAATACTGACAATAAAATTGGCTCTTCGCAGAAGCTGGTTAAAAAAAAAAAGTCGTACTAGAAATTGTGATAAAGCAGTGCAATTGTTTAAAGCTTAGAATGCAAAAGAAGTACCAAGTGAGGCTTAATACCTTTAATTCCCTTAGAAAAAATGGTTTTTTCTATCAATGTTATTTGGTGTCTTATTTACACTGTTGCATAAAGTAAGATACACAAAAATCAGTTTGTTTAGAGAAATGCCTTGATCTGGCTGGAACAAATGACCACCCAGGTCTTTAAAAAGAGATGACATAAGAAAGAAAATAAAGCAATTGGGTTACTCTGTCCCACCAACTCACACTTCACACTATCACCCTCTACTTAGAAATGCTGTCTGGGCTTGTTTTTTTTTTTTAAATTAAAAGAAAAGACTAATTAAAAATTTTTAAATAATAATAAGTAGGTAATAAACCCCAGGCTACTTAAGATGGAATCTAGTTTTCAATATTTTGCTCATGATGTAATTTCATTATCTCATCAGGAATAAGATTTAAAAATGCTATCTGAAGGGAACAAATCCTTCAGAAAACCTCCAGCCCAGTTCTGGTACTCTGGAGCTTCCCTACACGTGCAGGCCAAGGTTAAGGGCAAGACCAGGGTGAATGTAATTCATCCTTGACTTCGAAAAAGCCAAGTGTTCTTTTTTATAACCAAGTGCTGTATATACTTTCGAGGTGGAAAAGCAAACAGTATTTGTATTTGTTTTTAATTGAGACAATTTAATAAAAATAACCTTTTAAAGTGATCATTTAACATTGTCAGAATCAAGGCAGTCCCCTGATTATACCAGCCCCACTCCTAAAGCTATCTTTAAGTTGACTTTACAGATGTCTGGAATGGTGAGGTTTGTATCTAAATTCAGTCAATAGTATACAGTTTCAATGTATGAAAACGGGGAGTATGTAGCTCCTCACACACTTTGTTTATCCAATCATCTGTTCACAGCCATCTGGTCTGCTTCTACTTTTTGGTTATTATGAATAATGCTGCTATGAACACAGTTGTATAAACATTTGTTTGAGCACCTGGCCCGAGTATCTGTATATACTTAAGTGATATGCAGTTTCCTGAGTGACATAAGGAGCCTTAGTGACAAAGTGTGATACATGTTCGGTCCATAAGTGAAAGATCGGTAGTCCAAGTGTACCAGATGCTTTCTGGAAGAAAAATGAGATAATTTCTTCAATTAAAAATATATACCCTTGGAAACTGAAGGTCACTGTGGGTCAGAATTAACTTGAAGACAATTGGGTGGGGGAGCCATTGAGTATATTCAAGTGTTTATTATACATCATCTTTGGAAAAAAACCCCACACTTGTTCAAGTCCTCTGTGTGTATAGTTATTTTTGTTTTTAAATTGGGTTTTCCTTTCTGTTGTTGAATTCTAAGAGTTTTACACACACACACACACACACACACACACACCCCTTCAGTATATAAGATATAACAGAAATATTTCATCCTCTTCTTTAGGCTACCTCTTTACTTTGCTCATAAAGTCCTTGGATGTGTATAAGTTGCACAGCACATTTACTGTTTTTTCTCCTTTTGAGGAATCATCATTCCCTTTAACTCTGAATCCTAGATATTGGGGCCTTTAGCTGTTTACGGGTGTGCTCCTCGTTCAATCAGAGATAATGAGTAACAAGACTTGACTTGACCTCAAACCTTTTACTAAGAGGCTACTCTAAGAGTCTTAATGTTCTCAGTGGATCAGGAGGTAAATTGTAGGACTTCTGACAGTAACATAAAAAAATATTTTTAAAAATAGACCTTAAAAAAAAAAAAAAAGAGCGACCTGATGGCCTAGGAGGTAAGGAGTTGCTTGGTCAAAGGCAGGTCATTTGGCTCCATCAGGGTCTGTGTGAAAAAGATGGGCAATCTCTACCCGTGTGACTTACAGCCTTTAAAAACCCACCGGAGCAGTGAACTGATGTCTACTCAATGGAACACATTTGTGTTGCTGACTGGACCTACAGCAATCCTCCATCAGGTTTCTGAGGCTGTGAATCTTTACCAGAGGAAATTGTTCACTTTTCTTTCACGAAGCGGATGACAGACTCAAACCACAGACCTTTGGATTAGCAGGTTGAAGCATCACACACAATGCCATGATGGCTCTTTCATAGTGCAGATATTTTCCTGAAGTTTCTTTAACTGAAACTTTTTGGATCAGGATACCAATGATTTTTATGTTGACTTAGTAGAAAATATGGTGTATTAAAACAGAACAGTATCTGGTAGAAGTATAGCATTCTAAAGTGGAAACAACAGAATTCTGCTGTTCTTAAAGAAGACTTAGAAACACATTAGATCAGCAAACTTTGTTCCAAGAACTGCAACCGAAGTCAAATCCACTTTCCTTAACTGCCGGAGAAATGTGAAATGAGAGCAGGTTACTGATGGGGTTTCTCTCCTTTTTATAAATGCTGATTTGGTCATGTTTTTCTAGAAAATAGCATTCTAATGGGATAAAGAATAGGGATTTACTTGGGCTACTCTAAAACTGTTAATTTAAAACACATTAGAAAATAAACTGAGAATGAGTCTAGAAATAAGAGAGGAAACAAAAAAAGATTTGGTTTGGCTATACTCAGCCATTACTATTATTTGTAACAATAACAGTTTTAAAATACATTTTTACCTCATTCTTTTTTCACTGAAATAATAATATTAATGTAATCTGTGTTCATTTTTAAATTTCTTCCAGTCTAGGTTCAAACAGCTGTTTTGGAGAATAAATTTGCTTTTTCTTGTTATGTGTAATGACACACATACAATTATGGTAAATGAAAGGTTCTGAGACCACAAGAAATTGTTTTCCACTCTCCTCAGTGTCTACTACATGTAGTCTCCAGAAAAGCCTTTAAATTCTAATGGTTTTTTCCTCTTGGTCACCATTCTCCCTGCTGCCCCCCGCCAGGGTATTATAGGTCTTACATACCTAGATCAAAGTTGTTGGAATTTAACAGGAATTCTGGTAAGTAAAAAAATTCTGGGATCAGTTCTTTGACGTCTGCCATGTTGTGCTTCGATGCAGAATACCAGGCCTCACGCACGCTGTGAAACATCCGGTCGGCCAAGTCAAAGTGGCCGCCCTGTGGGGCAGAAGGAGAAAGCACCAGCTGTTAGGAACTATTCTCATCTCACAGCATGCTTGAAATCCTCAAATAAATATGTACTGTGATAGTCCAATTTCTTATTCACTATGTCAAATACATAAAATTATAAAGGATCGCAAAAAGGAAATGGAATCTAATTCTCTTTAGGGTACTCCTCATAGAAAGAATGTTTAAGCTGTGTATTTGTGTGTATACATACATAAAAACACAGATCTGATACATACAAACACACATTTCAAAGTGAAATCATATATAGATGTAACCAGTCGTGTTTTGAGAGATCAAGACTATAAAGAATAGTTCTTCCATAGTTCAATGACATCTTTCTCTGAAAAAAATTGTTACCATGTGTAGTTTCAAATTAATATTGCAATATTATAAATTAGTATGACATTAAAATTCTCATATCAAGGAATTATGTCACTTCCTTAAGGGGAGAATTAGAAAAAGGATTAAGAAAGTTATAGACAAAAATTCAAATAGATACAGCCTGACCCTCAACTACATTCCCTATGCTGCATTTGTAAATGAATGCAGAACATTTGTCTTTATGATGAAGCTCAATCTCAGAAAATATCAAAGCTCCACGCTGTTCTTCTCTCTGATGGTACACGCCTGCCTTAGAGTCTTTCCCCTGGCTGTTCCTCCTGCCTAAGACATCTGAAGTGACTCATTCTGAGCGTTCTAGGTTAAACTACATCCTGTAACACAATCTCCTGCTCAGATATTTTCTCTCCTCCTTTCCCAGATTTGTATTTTCCTGACAACATTTTTCACCATTCAAAATCAGGCCTTTGTTCATAGGGTTGCTATGAGTTGTGTTTGACTCAGAGGCAATCATCATCAACAACAACAATATATTACAATTTACTTATTTATAATGTTTGTCTCTCTCAGTTAAAACCTAAGTTCTCTGAGGCAGGTGGTTTCTTCATTCATTGATGAATCCAGGCAGCTAGAACTGTGCCTACCACATGGTAAATATTCAGGAAATCTTTGCTGAACAAATGAGAGAGAATGTGAAGAAGAGCTGTATTCTAGAAGACAACAAATGAGCTAGAAAGTATTCTTTCTTTAACAGTCACTGAATTTCGTCAGGTAGGGCTGAATTCTTCACACAGGGTTGGAGAGCATATTCTACCTACTCTCACTTCCACTGGATATGTTACTAGCGGGGCCCAGTGCCTGAGGAGAGACATTAGGCTTGATGAAATAGAGGAACAGCCATAAACGGGAAGATCCTTAACAAGATGGACTGTTAACAATGGCTGAAGTCACAGGCTTAAATGCCAGATTGTTAAGGATGGTGCAGGACCAGGCAGCAGTTTGTCTGCTGTTGTGTATGTGGTTGGAACCGACTTGATGGTCCTCACAACAATAACAATTTGATTAAAAGATGCTATAATTTTTAAATTCTATACTAATTATAGTTTGTTTATTAATTTTGGTCCGTGAAATTCTGTTTTGATTTTGTTCACTACTTCTGTCACTAAAACAAAAGCTCTAGTTCTTTAGTTCCACAGGGCTTCTTTTTTTTGGTACGTGTACCGTCAAATCAGATCTGACTGGTACAGGAGGAGATTGTCCCTCCTTCTCCAGCAAAGCATCTGGTGGATTCGAATCGCATACCTCTGGGATTGCAGTGCAGCTTCTTGCCACTAGGCTACCAGAGCTCCCCTCCACAGGGCTTCTTATACCATACTGACACTGGAGGATGGGGGTGGGAGAGTCCCACAACTCTAGAAATGAAAGGTAGGATTGAAGAAAAGGGGAAAAATTCCAATTTTTAAGTTTTACCTGTAGCCTTAAGAATATCTGTGTGAAAGGTTCCATCCTTACAAGGTAAGAGGCCACAATCATTGCAGATGAATAGTGGGTTCCATAGTGGTAGGCTGGGGTTTCTCCTGTTCAAGATAATTAAAATGAAAATACTGGTGTTAATAGGTACGAAACCGCTGAAATGTGTGAACACCATGATGAAGTCAGTGCTGGCATTTATATCACACCAACTGTACTGCTTTCTGCCATTTATACATCTGGCAGTCGCCCTTTAGTATAATTCACCTATCTTCCTCCTAAACTCAGCACATGCGTCAATTTCAAGTTTAGAAATTTATTGTTGTAGCTCCTATCAGCAAACTATTAATACTAGATACTGATCTATCTTGCCTTAATTGTTCCATTTTATTAGGCATAGGCTTTGCACTTCTAGGTTTAACTCGTCCCTATGAATACTGCTTTATTTTTATCAAATACTCTCTATGTTTGGTGGGAAAAGTTCACTCAGGGATATGGGAGGTTTAAATTAAATTTTTCTTTGTTATAGGAGACACACAATAAATATGAAATATATTACTATGTTTTAGAAGACAGCGCATCATTTTTTAAGACACAACAGCATTTTAAAAAGTACTTCAATAAAATGAAAAGATAATTAAGAAATAAAATAGAAGATTTGTTGCCTTTTTGGTGACAGTAGTGAAGAGTATTCAATATATCATGAACTGTCAAAAAGAATAAATTCATCTCAGATGAAGTGTAGCCAGGGTGCTCCGTAGAAGTGTGGGAAGGGCTTAGAGGGGCACGTTAACAGGAGGATCCCGACGCTATACATAGACACTATTCTTGGAAAGTAGAAGATCAGCAAAAATAAGGAAGAGCCTCAGTGAGATGGACTGATGCAGCAGATACAACAACAGGCTTAACTGTGGGACTGGTGAACGACAGGGTGGAGTTTCTTTGTTGTACGTGGGACCACTGACAGCGCCTTTACAACCACAAATCAAAGCACAATTCCTGGAGTAAAAATTACGCAGACTAGGGCAGATTTTTTTTTTTCCTTATACAAAGCAGACATTTCATTTGATATATTGCAAAACATTTTTCTGCTATTTTGACATGCTCTGTTTTGAAGCAAGCCTTTAAACAGTCATGTAAAATTATTCTTACACACACACACACACGACAAATATAACAATATACAAGTAATCTGAAGAAGGATGCAAAGATGTTAAGATCACTAACTAAGGTCTGAAAGAGTTGTGGTGGCCAAGTAATAAGGAGTGGTGCAAACAATAGGTCCACTAGCTGTTCTGTGGTGACAAAGATGGGCTATCTTTTCCTGTGTGATTTATAGCCTCTGAAAACCCCTCTGGAGAGTTAGCTACGGGCCTATTCTGACTTCTCAGCACATTAACAACAAACTAATCGTTGACATTTGAAACTTTGCTACAAAATCCAATGGAGAAAACGTTACTTACCATTAGGATCTTCCCAGTCTTTATACCGCTTTTTATACTGAGCTAATCGTTCATCTGTCTGCGCTCCCATTGGCTTGGCCAGGTTTCGAAATGTCTTGGGATTAGTAAGATCCACCTCCTAAAACAAAAAACGAAATACGTCTAAATTAGTAAACGTCCTCTATTCTGATGGCCTAGTGGTAAGGAGTTTGCAAGCCTAAAAGCATGTTGTTCGAATCCACCAGGTGCTCCACAGGGGAAGATGGACAATCTCTTCTCTTGTGATGTACTGCCTCTGAAAACCAGCTGGGGGGTCAGCTTAAGAGTCAGTTCTGAATTGATGGCAGTGAGAACCTGGAAAAAGCTGTTGTTTCTTACCAACATACTAAGTACAGTGTTTGCAGCAGACACTGAGGATTTATACTGTGACTGTATTCTACGAAGACCAATGGGCAGAGGCGAACTCCAAAACAACGTGCTGTGGAAAATCGCTTATCTGTGCTTTCGGGACATGCACGTGACAGTTTGCCAATCTATTCCACTTGACGATAACTGCATCCGGAATGAATTTCCTTAGAGGAGGAGCTCTCAGTACCCTTACTTGGGCATGAGTAACAGGAGGGAGAAGCCTACCCATTCCTGCCAAGGACAGGAATAGGGGAGTGTGGTGACAAACACCCAACTCCTTACTATCCTCCCATTAACCATGTAGCTGGCGGGTCAAGTTTCCTTCTATCCTCTTCTCTAGTCCCATCCCATATCCCATCAAATTCAGTTCTAAGCATTTTCTTCTTGAAGGTGATCTGGGAATGATACATATCAGAACACTCAAAAATGTGCTCTCCTCTAAAAAACAAGAACATAGCGCACCAAGTGACTTAGAAATGAGATGAATTTCTTCCAGGGATTACTTTAAAGGCTCATCATATCTACCTGACCTACTTCATAGAGGGGAATTAGAATTTAGCTGCTGAGGATTTTAAAAAGCAGAAATTTGAAATATGTACTCAGGGGATATTAAATTTGTGTCCTTTTAAAAGGCATCATGACCTACCAATTTTGCAAAATTTGTAAAAGTCTTGAGCAAGAGAGATTGATTTGCATTATGACTAAAGTTAAGTTTAGGACATTAATAGTCTGCATGCAGAGGACTTAATTAAGAAATTTTGTTTAATTCAACAAACATTAGAAGTGTACACTAAGTGTTGGATAGTTTTAGAGGTTGGAAGTTGAGAGATGTAGGAGAGTTTTCATATTCAAGACCCTTTCCGTCTAGAAGGGTCAGGCAAAAGTCATGACTACACATTATTAAACAAAAAATACCAACATAATGTAAAACATTACTATGATACAAGGCAGTAAATGGGAGCAGAAGAAGCAGACACAGGAGATAAAGCAAACAGGTGGCCCAAGGTGCCTCTTGAATGTGTCCTGAGAGATGAGAGGGAGTCGATCAGGTAAATTACTTAGTGAGGGGGGAAGATGAACGTGAGAACTAGGGAGAATTGTAGGCACGTAGAATAGCAGCTGTTAAGTTACTGAGGAATGAGAAAGGGTATTGAACATAGCCCAGGATAGTAGTTTTAGGAATATAAAGTGATGTAGAGAGAGGAGGAGGAAGAGGAGGTAAGGGAGCTCTGGTGGCCTAGTGGCTGGAAGTTGCGCTGTAATCCCAAAGGCACGTGGTTCAAACCCACCAGCTGATCCCTGGGAGAAGGACAGCAATCTCCTCCTGTGCGATTAACTCCTCCTGACCCACCAGAGGGTTAGCTATGGATTGGGTCCAACTCGATAGTACACAACACAAAGACAGAGGAGGCAGTTTGTGAAGGCACTGCACATAAAAACTCTGAAATCATGATGATGACTCACTGAGGAATTTGGATAGGGGAGTGATCCAATGAAATTTGTGTTTTTTCATTTCTGGATGCAGAATAGAGACAGACTGAAGGAAGGGGAGCCAGGACAAGAAGCCAGTTAGGAATCTACTGCAACAGCCTGTTAAATATGACTAGACTCCCATGAGACACTAGCAATGGCAAGGTGACAAAGTTCTAGACTAGAAAGACAGCCATGTGGTACACAAGCTTTGGCCAATGACTAACTAGGCATGGATAGTAGGAAATTGATTTCTAGCTCATATGGGGGCATGGATGTGGTGCTATTTCATAATATAATATAAGGTGAGGGTTAGCATACATCAGGGTAATGTGGACGAGAAGGGGAAGTGCAGAAATGTACCAGTGAGGGTTCTATAAGATACATATTCAAGGTATCATTTTGAGTCCTGATTACATACATATTAAATTGCTGGAATTCTTCTTCCCAGGATCTTTTGAATAATAAAATAATAATAATTTAAAAAACCCCTCTTTCATGTATCAAGAATATCTTGCAGTAAAGTCATTCCATATTTACTAGTTAACACTTCAAACGTCAAATACAGAAAAATTATGATATTCACCAGTGGTTGCAAATAACCATGTAAGAAAATAGAATAAACATTATGAACTAATATCCAATACCTATGAAGTTATTAAATTATCTAAACTTTGTACAGGGCAAGATAAAACACTTGCACCTTTTTGAAAGAAGTGCTAATTGAGAATACATCTACTCCGTATTACTGATGACTATCTGTGACTATCTGGTAGGTGGCATTTCACGTTTACAACAACAGTGAAGATTCTATTATCTGAACTATCGTGCGTATTAACAGCATCTGCTGGGCAGTAATGAAAATCCAGGTGTGAGGCAACAGTAACACTGGCTATGATGGCTAACGTTATGTGTCATATTGATGATGTCTTGATTCTCAATGATCTGGAAATAAAATAAAGTTGTAACAGGGCAGTTGTATAATCATGGAGTCATCTTTGTGGTCTGCTGTGGTCATCGTCAACTTCTGTTTAATGTCAGTTTTTGCATAACAATCTGGTTTTTGGAACATAACCGGGTTGTTAAGTGTGGAGTTAGTATCCTAAACTATAAAGTAAATAAACATTGTGGAACTGAATTCACTAATTTTTTAAAAACTGTGTTCAATGAAACTATCCTGAGATTTACCTCTGAGTCGTAATCCGCAAGGATCCAAGGGAAGACAGGGTATTGCATGAGATCATTATACGATCTGCCGGCCAGAGTATTCAAATGCATCAAATACTGAAAGTTGCTGATTTCACCTCTCTTGAGAAAGAGAAATAAGGATTCATTTTAGAGAAAGCCAATCAATTCTTTAGCGTACATTCACTTTAAAAAATATTATATGCAAAATAAGGTAAAGTTTTCCTTACAGATTTCTAAATAAGAAAATACTATTTTTTTTT